ATTTTTCACTTACATGTTTGAAACTCACATTTGCAAGCAGCTATATCAAATAACTTAGAGGCCTCTTCTTAAATGACTCTAATTTAAGTTTAATCGTCTGAGTATTCTTCTGCTCTTTAAATTTCTCTGAATAAGTTTGTAACGTTGGTGAAACGTTTTGATTTTGTCCCATATTCGATTTTTACTCACTACAGGAATTGAAGCTTTAAGCCAAATTTCTTCAATTTTTTTCACCGTTTGTTTTAGAATCTCACTAACAGAAGAATCCTTTCCGGCATATTTTTCCATTTAAATCATGTTGTACAAACAAATAATGACACATAACATCGTTAAACGTTGGCAACACTCTATCATTCAATAATTTTAGATGTCCAAAAACAGTACGGTTGCCTTTACTTCTAGTTGCCATTATTGTTTTCCCACCTACAACGTTTCACACACAACTAAGCCTGGCAGTCGTAATAGTAAGCGTAAAACGCCTGAACAAGTTTGAAGTTAATACAAGTTGAGACATGCGCAGCGCAGATCTACGCGATGGCCCGCTACTAGTGATGGGTAACTTCAGAAATTAACAAGTAATTTTTGCAAAATTAAATATGTTTGAGGAACCAGAAGTCCTGGTAGTAGAGAAAATTTATTTTAATATATTGTTTTGAGTGACAAAATGTATTTTTTTTCCGCTATGACAGCTTATAAATGCTATTATTTTATTAATCTTTATTATGACAACTTTATCGGAAATCAGTGAAACTCAGAAATTTAAGGACCTTGAGGAACCCCAAAATATTAAAATCGGTCAAGCAACTTTTGCCACTTTTTTTGTTAACACTTACGCATATTTTAACAACTATGTCACACTACTTGGAGAAATAAAGTTTTTTCGTTCCACCCTAATGTACACTATACTTTTCTTATCGGCCTTGGAAATGTTTTTCGGAGCTTTTCCTGCCTTTTTAGCAGCTTTACCACTAGTTTTAGGAGGCATGGCAACTACAAACTTACGGTTACTGTTTAAAAATCGAACAGAGACTATCACAATTTCTTTCAAAAATTTATTATACTTTTTACTGTATTTGCTGATCTCTCTTCTTTAATTCTGTGAAATTTCAGGTCTCTCTTTATTATTGCGTTGGGGAAGTACCATGGAGTGTTCAACTGTGGTTAGCAATGTCTTAGTTTAAAAACTTTGTATGATTTCCAAGTTAGCGTTGTTGGCTGAGCCCCAAAACTGCAGGCCATAGTTCCACGTTGTTCTCCGAGTGCAGAGGTTGTCTCTCACCCGGCTCTGGAACCCAATTGAGCCATGTGTTACCTTTGGTCAAATTTAATTTAATATAGAACATCACAGTTATTTTATAACACAATGTACAACATTTCATAACTAAATGTAATTTAAAGGGTTTTTACCCTAATATTTTGGTGGCTCAGGCATTATGACCTAGCATTTTCGATTTTAATAACCTGATGATGGACTGTGTAGTCCGAAAACGTTTGTTTTATTGATGTGGCCCTTTTAAGGGTTTTTTAAATAAATATACCCATTTACAAAGATTAACCTCTTTTTGTTATACGTGGTATACAGCCAGCTAAAGGAATTTTTCCTTGTGGATTTTGCAGGCCATAGGTCCATATGGGTTTAATTGTGGCTTTGTATAGCACTAATTTATTTTCAATTTGCAGTATTGAATATCTACCCAGGATCCAGTACATTTGTTGAAGTTCGAGTCCAAGCTGTGTTCTTTTCTTGAAGATGTGTTTCCTCCATGTTAGCCTTTTATCTAGATGTATGCCGAGGTATATGGTTGGATCTACTTCTACTAATTGTTTGTTGTTTATGTATAATGGTGGACAGCTTTATTTTAAATTTTTTTTTAACTATTTTTCTATTTTATTTACGTGGGCTTGTAAGTTACGCGAAGCTCTTTGGGGATCTGTGTAAAATACGATAATAGCGAGCGAGCATGTTGTTGTTTCACTACTGAAAAACGATCTGTTAAATACGATTTTATAATTAAATAATATTGAGATGGAATATTTTTCTTTACCTTATAGAGGAGTCCTATATGCCACACTTTGTCGAACGCTTAGCCGATGTCTAGAAAAACTGCACTACATTACCTCTCGTTTTCTAGATCAGTAGTGATTTGTTTAACTATACGGTGTGTTTATTCTATTGTTCCATGTTTACTACGAAAACCAAATTGATATTTTGGAATTAAGTTTGTTCCTTCTATTGTTGGTTCTAATCGACGTAGAAACATTTTTTCTGCTACTTTCCACTGGTTGGGAGAATGTGTATAAGTAAGTACTGCAATAAATTTTCTTGTTTTCTTAGTTAAGTTTTACAGGATTTTTCCAGTGACGATGTCATATCCAGGAACATTTTTTAGACTGATTTTATAATAATTACCATTCGGATTTCTTTAGGATTGAATTTTTTGATTGGGAGATCTATTTGAAAAGGTATATAAAGAAAATTTAGGATTTCGTTATCATCTTCGTCGTTTTGGACAATGTTGTATCGTTTAAAGACGTTGCTTCGGTGTTTCTAATCTCTATAGTTTCTAAACGGAGATATTTGTTGTATTGCTCTATTCATTGTCTGTGTAGTATGCCGTAGAGAATAATCTGTTGCTTCCGTAGCTGTTAGTTTTTAGAGGTGCTCTTGTACGTTCTAATTTCTTATTGTGTGTAATTTTTTTTTTAATTCAGATGCTGCTCTATTATAATTTCTTTTATTGATTTCAGTTCTATGGTTTTGCCACTTTTTAAAAAGTCTTCGTTTTCTATGACTTTTTTCTTTTACAATAATTGGATTATCGCCTTTGGATTTATTGTTGGCAGATTTTGTTAGATTTGCGACGGCTTCTTCAATGTTCTGTAATGGTCTTAATTTTTATGTGTCATTTAGTTCAATGTTCTCATCAAGTTTTTGTCGGAAATGCTTGTAGTTGGCATTTAGGTTACACCAGTGTGGTTCTCGATGTTTTCCTGCTACTTTTGCATGTAGCGTTAACACAGTGCTCAAAAAATGATAAGGATCAAAGTAATATTTTACGCCAGTTCGCCTAGTCTAAATTTGTAAAAATTTAATATTATTAAAATAATATTAACACCCCCACTTTTTTTATCATTTTTAAAAGAAAATAATGGTTATTGTGGCCATCCGTTTTCTTAATTTTTTTTACTATCGTCAACAACAAAATTGAATATTAAAGTTGTATATTTTCATTTGATATTAACAGAGTTTGGGTTCATCTGCTAGTGAATTATTACAAAGATAGAAATATTGGAGTATTTTTATTAATTATTTATAAAATATGCCTCAAAGACATTTGATATTGTCGGAATGCAAAATATTGTGAGGTGGATCAACAAAGGGTTAACACAACGTGTATTGACTCAAAGTTTTTTTAGAAAAAGGTTGCATATGGACTGGTTTAAGAGCAAGAAGACATTCATCTCATCCAGTACTAACCAGGGAGTGTCGCGGATCGAGAAGACTATGGGCTGATGAATCGCAACTTGACAATCAACGAATGGATAACCTATTTATTTACAGATGTGTCTAGATTTCATATAAACAATTCCGATGGCCTTATTATGGTTTGGAGGGAACGGATAAAGAGATATAATGAACAATATAGGGTGCCTAAAACTGATTTTAGGGAAGATTCTAATTGCGTTTGGGGTGGCATTTGTTTTGATGGCCGCACCGACTTAGTGGTCTGACAAATGCTATGATGATGGCTCAGAAATATACAGATATGGTTGCAAAACCACTTATTGTACCATTTGCGGGTGCAACCGGAGAAAGTTTTGTCCTTATTGACGACAATGCCCGTCCCCATTGATCACCGTGCAAGAATTGCTAAAGACAGATTACAGCATAGAGCCATAGAACATGTCTGGGCCTCTATTAGTTTACAGTTAAATGTGTTAGATAATCCTGTGAATACGCTTCAAGAGTTGAGTGAAGCTGTGAAACACCTATGGACAACTTTGGATTGAATTTTTTTGAATGCATTTATTGAGGGTATGCCTAATGGACTAAGAAGTTTAATTCGTTCACGAGGAGGTCCACCAAAGTATTGGAATTTTTTATTTTAGTTTTGTAAGCCAATTATCTCGTTATTTTAGATTTTGTAGAACACAAGTTTATGTTACTTTTTTTCAGCAATTTTTTTTATTTAAAATATTTTATTTTTGCTAACTATAACCAACGAAAAAATACTACGACGTCAACAACTTTTAAAATATTGGAAATAATAATTATGATCCTTATAAATTGTTGAGCAGTGTATTATAGAAGAATGATCTGATTAAAGATCATAGCTGCTTTCAATTTTCAGGTAATTTGGGTACCTTTTACGATAAAGAAATCGATAGCGTCTGGTATTTCGCGGGATCGGACGGGGCCCGTAAGTGGGGTTTCCTGTTAAAATTAGGTAAACGCAAATTTTTATTAATAAGCGAAATTCGTGAGGCGTACTATAATTACTGGTACAAACGCGGATTTAAAAAACATGCAAAAGATTGAATAAAAGTATTATAACACATAGAAAAGGAAATAAGTGGAATTTGGAAAAAAATATTGAAAATTAAAAATACATTGGTTGAGTTAAAAGAAAACGTAATATTTAAAACATTACCATTGGCATTTTATATTTTTAATATTTTCACTTTCATAATTTACTGATTCTGATTACTCTAATATTTTTTAATCTTGGAGAGTCATATGGCTTTTGTTTCTTTTCTTCCAGCTACTATTCTTGTTTAATCATCAAACTTTCGTTTTCGTGTGCTTATTTCTTATTTAAATATGTATCTATATTGTTTTGCGAATGATGAAACAGGAAATTTATCTATAAGAAATTACACTACTACAACAACTTTTGAGCAAAGCTTCAGTGCTAGTGTGTTTATGAAAATACAATATTTGCAATTTCATATTTTTAAATTAGTTAAAATTACAGTCTTACTGACAATATTATTTTTAGGTATCATCAGTATTAAGTTCTTTTGGGTTTGTAGAAATTCGGAAATTTCCATATCAAAATAAGAGGGCGTTAATCGCTGTAGATAATTTTGGAAGGTAAGTAATTTACATTTTTAATTGTTTTAATGATAATAAATTATATAACTAGACTTAATTGATAACTAGAAATAATTAATAACTAGAATTGATTAGTCGTCAGAGATTTGAACCCTAAAAACGGGAAGAACAAAAATGCAAAAAATTTGCCACTCCTATCCCCGGACTTCTTCGGGGTTAAATCGAAAAAATCGATTTACGAATCTGTACGTCGTAGTAAAACATGTTTTAAACAAAAAATATTCCTGAGATAATTTTGAACAAAAATTTTTTGGCAAATTTTTATGTAGAATGAACCGTTCTCTCAGAAACAACGCTTAAAGCGACTGGCGATTTTGAATATCAGTCACGCGCTCGAAATCAATTTTTAAAATAAAATATGTATCAACTTGACGGCAAAAATTCGATATCTTTTGATCAGATTGTCCTATTGACAAAAATCAATTAAAGGTAAAGAGTGCAGCTTTCGTATGCGATTTTTGCACTTTGACGCAAATGAAATCAGTTTTATAAATAAAAATCAATAAACCTGGCATGATTGCCTAATCCTCAAAACCTATAACATGAAATTTCGATTTTGTGTTTTGTCAACAAATATGAGGCATTTAAAATTTGCCTAAAAACGCTGAATTTAAACTTTCACATTTCAAACGATCTCACGTCACGTTAAATGCTTGCACGATGACGGTATTTAGTGAAATTTTTAGCTGAGGTTGTTTTGTTTCTAAAAACGAACTTGTGCAATCGAAAAGAAGCAGTTTTTATTTTTTAGATTGTTTGTAATGTAAAAGTTTAAATTTAGCGTTTTTAGTTATATTTTAAATAGTTCATATTTGTCGCAAAAACTCAAAATTGAACTTTCATGCTATAGGTTTTGAAGATAAGGCTCTAAAAATAAAAATTCCATAGGGACGGATTCAATTCAAATTCAATGGAAAAGATAGCTTTTATTTATTTCATGAGAAAAAATGACAAAAATTGCGCAATAGTTTTATAGACACTGACTTTATTTGCGTCAAAATGCGAAAGCTGCACTCTTCACATTAAAAACGCATTTTGATTTTTTTTATCAATAGGACGCTCTGATCAAAAAATATCGAATTTTTACCGTCGAGTTGATAAAACTTTTATTAAAAACAAATGATTTCGCGCACGTAACTGACGCAGGTCGCTTCAAGCGTTGTTTCTGAAAGAACAGTTTATTCTACAGAAAACGTGCTAATAAATATGTTTTTCAAAATTATCTCAGCTAGTTTGAAACATTTTTTTGTACGGCGTACAGATCCTCTGTAAATCGATGTTTTTTGTTCCACCTCTACGGGGGGTTTTAGGGGGAAGCCAGAGGATAGGAGTGAATTTTTTTACAACTTATTTGGAGTCCCAAAATTGACATTTTCTGTAATATTCAGCTTGTTCGAATGATTTGTAGAGATTCATTGGCATTTTCGTCTTTGCTTAAAGGAGTTATAGAATTATCCTTATATTGGCTTTAATATAAACGTTTAATGCGTTAAGAACAAAGATCTATCAATTATTCTTAGGTCATATAGCCAATGATATTAACACAAATCAATATACGGTTTGTAGCCAATTTTGCAGCCAACATCCGTTCGATTTGTGTTACGTGTAATGTACCAATTAATCTTTCTTCTACTGTTATCTGTCTGTCCTCTGTCGATGTTACCTATCACGTTGGTCTACATGATTTTGTACAGCTTTTTAAAATAAATTCACGGTCTTCATTCCCGCCCACTATCCGATATTCTTCAGCACAGTGTCTTTTTGCTTCTATCTTGCCTTGCAAAATTCGCTGAATTAGTTGGAATTTCTCATTGCACATCATATGACCTAAGAATGACATCTTTGTAGTTTTCACAGCACGCATAACGTAAAATAGTTTTACGTACGTTGAATCATGTTGTTTGTGATTTAAATGATATATGCAGTTCTGCTCATGCCGCTATAGAACCATATTTAGAAGACTTTTAGTCATTTACAAATTCTTAACTAGACTGTATTCTGCGACATATTATCCATATTGCTATATATGACATGAAGAGCTGGAACTTTATAGACACTAATGTAAAAACTGGAGGCTTTTGAGATGTGGATCTACCAACGATTATTACAGATAAGTTGGTTTGATTGAATAACAAATAAAATAGTTTTATTCCGAATGAAAAAGAGCAGAAATAACGAAAATAATAAAAATTCTTTCTTTCTTTCTTTCTCCCCTTCCTTTTACCCTATCAGGGTGTCGGATTTGGGCTAGCTATTTTAATTTCCATTTACCCACCTCTTCCATTCGTTTAATAAAAATTCGAAAGTAATAATATTTAGGCCATGTAAGTAGACATCCAGTGAGATATAACCTTCTACACTTCAAATACAGAGCAAAATCGTCGGAAGAAGTGACCCAGGCCGACGAAGGACGTCCTGGCTCCGAAATGTACGAGAATAGTGTAAAGAAACATCCGCCAATCTGTCACTAGTCGCCGTAAACAAAGTTGTTATTGTCAATTTGAATGCCAACGGATTCGATAATATTACAGGGTACTGAAAGAAGAAGACTTAATTGGGAGTTTAGTATTTTTAATGTCTCAATAGAGGCCCCTAATAAATCGGTTTTCTTTAAATATAAATAGGGAAAAACATATAATATCCTTTTATTTTGTAGAAAAACCTTTAACCTTTAATATATGTATTAAAAAATATCAGATGAAGCAATAAACTCAGAGTTGTGTGGAAATAGTGTATGATTGATTATAAATACATGGATATTTATTGCGACACTGTTTTTGTGACTGTAAATTTTAAGTACATCTATTTCAAACTGGAGCCTTCACTATTAACATTATATGTTAGTTTAATCTGTCAAGAGGGTATTTTTCACTACGAAGAAGTAAACACGATTAAAATCCACAGCTGCGTGCATTTATTTTTGTTCATTTTGTAATAATAAAATCTAAAAAACATATAAAACTTATTTGTTATTTAAAACTCTTAGTTTTTACTATCGAAATGTTTTTACGACAAAATACACATCAGTATATAATAAACTGCAAATTTAATTTTTTATCAACAAACCTGGGACAGACTGATTTTATTAGTTTATTTATAATTCAATTTAAATTTAAATTTAAATTAAATTAAAATTAAAAATAGAATGATAAAAAAGAACGAGATAAATTTTAGTATGAGGAATGTGACTGTTGTAGACTGTGTATAATAGTGATGGTAGAATTGAGCCCTGGAGTACTCCAGCTTGTGGATAGTGACTTGGTAATCTTGACCCGGATATCCGGATTGGACAGATATGAATAAGCTATTTTTACGAATGATGTAGGCAGTCCAGCAAGATGTAGCTTTTCGATCAGATTTGTGTGCCAGACCTGATCGAAGTCCTTCTGGACGTCAAGGAAGATGCCTATGGCGTATCTATTTGTTTTGTTAATTGATTGTGTGAAGGTTGCTGCTTCAATCAATTCATTTTGTGTGGAGTATTCAGGTCTGAATCCGAATTGATAGTTTGGGATGGTGAAGTGAGTGTCTAGGAATTCTACGAGTCTTTACCTAGGGTGCTTAGTGGATAGATAGGTCTGTAGGATTCAGGGCTGCTTGCGGGTTCCCTGGTTTGGAAATCATGACTGTATTGGTCACCTTTTAAGAGGTAAGAAAGTAGTTCAACATAAGGCATGATTATGTTGGTGATCAGTGGGTTTATATTCTCCTGGAGTTTTTGAGGCATCTTTTATAAATGCCATCAGGGCCAGAACTGTTTTTATTTAAGTTACACATCTGACTGGCAGTGTCCTCTGTCACTGGAGCTACCATCGGATGAGGATGGGGCCCATGTATGCCTGAGGATAGTGGCCTGAAGTGCGTTTTTGAAAATTTCGGTCTTATCTTGAATTAATAATAATAATGACATTGACTTTGAGATGTGATCGTGTTCACTTTTTTGTTTAAACTAGGATTTTAAATTTGTTCTAGAATTTTGACGCCGAGAGGCGGTTGTATTTTGTTTTGATGAAGGGGGCTCGGAATATTTTATACCCTCTGATTAGTCTGCGTTTTGTTTTGACTTTTGCCGCGAGTCTTTGAGGAAGCATTGCAGTATATGGATTGTATCGAGTTATTGGAATCGAGAAGGTTGAAGCTTCTTGCAGGCTTTCAATTTTTGAAATCCCTCTGCCAACTTGATTAATTGTTGACATATTACCTAACTCAGTGAGGTTAGGATTGATCTGCTCTTGGAGTCATCATCCAGCCCCATTTTCACATCCATTGTTGGATATAGGCCTTCTCCAAACGTCTCCAGTTCTCTCTATCTCTAGCTGCTGCAATCCAGTTTGTTTCTATTCTCCTTAGATCGTCGGTCCATCGGGTGGGGGGTCTGCCTCGACTTCGCTTGTCGGCTCTTGGTCTCCACTCCAATAATCTGTTCGTCCATCTTCCGTCTTTCATTCTAGCAACATGTCCAGCCCACCTCCACTTTTGTTTATTGATGCGCAGTATAATATCGTCTACGCCAGTTCGCCGGCGTATCTCCTCATTTCTCACACGATCTTTCAAGGTCAGGCCCAGCATTGATCTCTCCATTCGCCTTTGTGTTACCCTCAGTTTTTCGGCAGTAGCTTTCGTTAAAGTTAGGGTCTCTGCTCCGTAGGTCAAGACTGGTAAGATGCATTGGTTAAATGCTTTCCTTTTCAAGTGAATTGGGATATTTGTTTTAAAAATGTCTCTCATCCTTCCATATGCCGCCCATCCCAACGTGATTCGTCTATTTAGCTCGCAGGTTTGGTTGTCTCTGGTTATTCTAATTTCATGACCCAAGTATGTGTATTTATCGAATAATTCTACCTTGTTGTTATTGATCTATATCTCTTCGCTGGGAACCATATTGGTCATCATTTTGGTGTTCTCGAAATTTATCTCCAGCCCAGTTTCTTGTAGTATGTCAGCTCTTGGAATAGGTCCCAATAATTAACTTTACGATA